AAGATTAAGAGGAGGATATTAAAATAATTGGACTATTCATTATATTATCTTATTTTGTTAATTTTTTATAATACAACAATTCAAAATAAATAATTTAAATTAAGATTTATAACTACTATAAAAAAATATTATTTAAATTCATTTCAATAAATTATATGTTTTTATATTATTAAAAATTAAAATCAAATATTACACATAATAAAAAAGACGTCATGTAATATAATTCTTATAGAAAATTATTAAATATCTAAATGTTGCTGTTTATTTTTTTTTTTTATGTTTTTATATTTACTCGACACACTTATTTTATTGCGAAATAATATATATATTTTTAAGAATAATGATTTTAATTGAACTACAATGTGTTATTATCAAACTTATTACTACCCACCACTAGTAAGTGTTGATGGATATTCATTATGTCAATGTAAATTAACAAGATACCATTTTAAAATATTTTAATTGATAAAATTACTTAAGACAATATGAAGATTAACAACCAATAATAAATAACGAAAAAAGGAATTAAAAGCTTGTAGATGAATAGGTTTAATGAAATGATAAGAAGAATTGATACAAATTGTAAAATAGATAATAAAAAATGAATTAAAATCAATTGATTAGACAAATATCTTCTTTAAATTATTTGTTCTTCTTTTGAAATTAACGGAAGTCTATTGATTTGATTAGTTAATATGTTTTGTTTATTTGAAATTTATATTACAAACATTTGTTTTTTCCATATTTCAATTTTAGTTTGTTTTTTAGTACGTGCATTTGCAGGACTTGTACCTGGCATTATAATATATTTAATATTAGGTAATTCTTTAAAGAATTTATGATACAGTTTTGAAGGTCCTTGACCATTGAAAAGAACTGTTTTGATTGTTGGATGCTCAATTAATAATTTGTTTATTTTATTTGGTTTTACCTCTTTTATATCACTGTCTAAACTACCTTTTCGTTCACATTGACAACACACATCCCATAGTGCAATTTGACATGATTTAATTAGTTCAATTCTATGTTCATATCTTGGTGGAACACTTGTCATTGATTTTAACGATGAAATGATTGACCAAAAACAGTTCTGTGGGTGTCCATAGTATTGTTGTTTTTTGAGAGATTCAGTGCCTGGCATTGAACCTAAAATGAGAATTAAAGGTTTTGATGGGATGATTGGGTCAAATGATGAAAGTCTTTCATTCATCATGTTTCTTAATTTCTGAAAAATAGTTCAAAATTATTCAAAAACAGAAAATATTAAAATTTTCTTTTACTCATTTAGGTAAAGTCTCAAACAATGAATTGTCCATTTCTATTACCTCTTTTAATGTTTCACAACCTTCAAAGCAACCATTTTCATATTCAATACCTTCATGCAATGTTATTAATTCTAATTTCTTACAATCTTTGAAACAATATTTTTCAATTTTAGTAACAGAACTTGGTATTTCTACTTTTCTTAATCCAACACAATGACTAAATTCAAATGATTTAAGTTCATTGATTTCTTTAGTTATTATAATTGCTGGAATATTTTCACATCCATTAAATATCCTTCTTCCATAATTTGTTGTTGGTCCAATAGTAATTATATTAGAAAGACTTTTACAATTACAAAAACATCCATCCCCAATACTTTGTATTGTTGGTGGGAGTGAAATTTCTAACAATTTATTACAATTAACAAAACAACGATTCCCAAGAGAAATTAAATGATCAGAAAAATCAATTTCTTTTAAATTAATACAATTCATAAAACTTTCATCTTCTATTGTATCAATCCCAAAAGGTAATTGAATTTTTTGAATTGAAGTACATCCTTTAAAACAATATTTTGGTATTACAGAAATCATATCACTAAGTACTACATTTGTTAATCCATAACAATTCATAAATATTCCATTTCTTATTGATGTAATACAATTTGGAATAGTAATGTTGTCTATTAAATGATTATCACAAAAACATCCTTTATCAATAATATGACATCTTTCATCCATTTCGATAAAATGTTCTTTGACATCTTCTTTAGTAATTTTAATTTTATGAAAGATTTCTTCAATTTCTGTTTCTTTATTAACTTGATTAATAAACTCTTTATATCCAATTTCTCTCCAATTTTCATATTTGTTAATATTGTTTTGTATAATTTTTTTTTCATTCCCATAAATGTATTGCGTTTGGATTGAAGGAAACATTTTAATATTTTTCTCTGTCAATACTACTGTGTTAAAATGAAATTTACTCATTGTCCCTCTATACTTTTTACATACTAATTCAACATTAATAATGTCTTTAATATTTATAAAATACTTACAAATAATCATTATTGAATATGCATCTATTTTTCCCATCTTCTTCTATTTTTAAGTTCTTCTTTTTCTTATTTCTCTTCTTTTTTATCTCTTTTTCATCTCTTTTAAATAAACATTATTGAAAAAACTTAACGTTCTTAAAACTTTTTCCTTCGAAGATGCTGTTTACTTTTGTTTATTAAAGGGAATTTATCTAAATTTTTGACTATCCTTTCAAAGAGTAATAAGTTATAAACTAAAACATAATAAAATAACATTCTTTTATTCTGTTAATTTATTAAAAATGAATCAGAATGATAAATAAAATATTTTCTAGAAATAAATTAATTTTATAAACAAAAAGCAATTTCTAAAGATTTAAAAATAAATTTAACAAAATTATAAGAAAAGAAAACCAATTAATTATATTTAATGATAAAATTTTATAAAAGTATTATTAATCATTAAACACCTTTTTTATCACTTAAATTTCTTTAATAAAAAGTAATTTTTAAACTCTTTGAATGAACTAAACAAAAAAACTTAATTAGTTTAATGTTT